AATTATTGCGGTGTGGAGTGATGGGAAAATACCCTCATTTGTTTTTGAAGCTTTCCTTGTGTCAAAACTTCTTAATTTTCCTTTGTTGCAAACAGGATTTTTGCATTTACTCTTTTTTAATACACAGCCAATGACGAGAATGCTTGTTTTGATGTTCAGTAAGTAAAAACAATAAAACCGCTATTGCTGCATTGTCTGAGAAGCATTGTCAGGTCATTTCTAGTTCGCAGTGTAACTTTAAAGCATATGTATGCTTGTCAGAAAGACCTGACGGGTGCTACTCCTTGTTCACGAGGGCTTGCCGCAGCAGGTAGCGCCACGTATTTGATCTGGCAACATTTTTACGCTGGATGCTCTTGAAGCAACCCCAAGGGGTGTAAGTTTCTTCCCAGGATTGAACTGTGGAGCTTTCGTTTGTCAGGCAAATGTAAAACACTGCAGGAGGTTTTTTTGCATGTCGAAAGAGGATGAAAGCAGGATTGCCAGCAGAAGATGAAATAAAAGATGTAATTGTAACTGGTAGTTAATATGCTCTATTCAGGTTGACTGAAATGTCAGCTGACCATCTTGTGGCTGTACACAAGTCATTTAGCAAGCAAATTAGTGTCCGGCATTCATTGAGACTAGCAGAGCATTGCATTACATTTACAGCTCTGTTAACCTCAATGCGCTTTAGTCTACAAGTCACATTTTAACCCCACATTCATACAGCACTTTATTCTTTTAGCTTTAAGTACTTTATCTGCCTCGCGTCTATGGCCAATTTGCGTCTCCATAAAAGTCATTACTTTTATAAGCTGCTGGTTTATGTTGATCAATAAGAAAGATTGATGTGGGTTCGGCTCAAATATCTAACTAACTAGCTAAATCACATAACCTGGTAAATGTGTTACATTTATTGTCTTCCCCTAGGGCACTTCTTGTTTCTCCCTGTCAGAGAGAGTAATTCACTTAAAGAAGCGTTCGTTCAGAGCTCTGCATTCCCTCGTCCAGTCTCTTCTGTTGCTTGCCAGGTCAGTTACTCGCCTGACGTAGTAGTTGAATTATTCAATTTAAGCATGTTTGATTGTCTTGTCTGTGTCTGTGTGGGGGAGTTCAAATCATACTAAATATCTCACCAAAAATCTTAATAAAATTCATCTCTGTTTGTGTAGATGCATTTCTCTCTGTACCTGCGTGGTCATTTTAATGGCTCGTTGCAAGTGGCTATAGAGGAAAACGGGACCGTCGCCGCGGTACCGGTCTGGGAGAGGAATGGTCAAGCCGAAGATAACTGGGAACCGGTTGCCCTGGAACTGACTGACCTTCATCACGGGTACATAAGAGGAAAACAAACAGGGGGAGGGATGAAAGAATAAAGGCTGATCTCTCGTGTGTTAAAGGGATGATGTGTCGTTGAGGTTTACTAACCTCTTTTTCCCATGGAGCCCCATAAAGTTACATTTTCTCCTTTGTTTTCCCCTGTCAGAGATAGTGGAGCTTAGGGATGAGTACATGCTTTAGGTCAGTGATAAGAAAAGGAAAATTGCTCCTTTCATCTAAAGAATGTGTAATCAGATTTAGTGCTCATAATAAAAGAGATTTCACTCCTACTTTACTCTGAAGAGTTTAAGTACACTCACTGGGATTGAAATCCTGCTGCTTTCTCATAAGAAAAGACAACTGTAATTCTCTGATTGCTCCAGGTTTCGTGTTAAAGTGACAGCTGTGTGGGGACAAGGCTCCAATGCTGACGTTGCTCTAGATGACATTGCACTTGGAGCAGCCTGCTTCCAGTCAGGTAAGCTAAGATCACACAACCATTAAGTAAAGCCAATACAGATTTCTTTAAAAGTTCTCAAGGGCTAAAACACACATTTGTCTTGCTTTACCGCATATTTAGTCTTTGCTTTCATAATGATCGGTGCACTTTATGAAATCAAACTGCGGCTGAGCTTGGGAGGAGCACAGAGAGACCTCCCCAACTGCTGTGTTTTGTTCAGCACCACAGCGGCCCTCAGC